GAGGGTTGTTCTTGAGCATCTCTGGGGAACTATGGTTACCTTTATGGTAAAGTATTTTCCTCTATCTCATTTACAATGTGTAAATTAGTTCCTACATATTCACCACCATGTTTCAGAGAGGTCCATGGTGGCATCTGCTAAAAGAAATAATTTTTATTGAAAGATTTCTTTCCTGAATCTGAATCCTTCTTTCTCCCAGCAAGGTTTTATGTTGGCTTTTTTTGGACAGGAAGATACTTTTGGTATTTTATGTCTAGCTTGCTTGTAGTTGGCTGTAGAATTTTTAAAATTACACTAAAACCTGCATATGAATTTACCTGCTTTTCAGGAAAGCAAACAAATGTTCTCTAACATAAACACTGCAAAGGAGAAGATTCTTTTTGACTCTATAGCTACTTGAAATGATGGGGGGGAAAAGAGGAAAGTTAAACATTAATCTGACAAATCTACTCTGATATAAATTATACAGGAGGCACATATTGCTTAAAAGGTGATGAACTTCACATCAAGATAAATAAAGAATATCATCAGGCTTTAAATAACATAGTGGTAAACCCATTAAAGTGTTTGAATAGCTTCATACAGGTGGCATATCTAATTTTCTAGTACAGGAAATTATGACTTGGATGTCTTTCAAGTCAGGACTCAGATGCTGTGCTGATGGTTTAAGTTCCTGAGTCAGACATCAAGTGCAAATATGCTGTTTGCACTGGAGGATCACATTCCTTTCTATTTCCTTTCTCACAGAGAAATAGTACCACACACAGGAAATAACTTTAGCTTACGCTTTGTTTGGGGAATTTTATTTGGAGGATTGGGAACTTCCTCTTTCTTTCTTTTTCCTTCTTTCTTTCTTTCTTTCTTTCTTTCTTTCTTTCTTTCTTTCTTTCTTTCTTTCTTTCTTTCTTTCTCTTTTCTTCTTTCTTTCTTTCTTTCTTTCTTTCTTTCTTTCTTTCTTTCTTTCTTTCTTTCTTTCTTTCTTTCTTTCTTTCTTTCTTTCTTTCTTTCTTTTTCTCATTTGTTTGTTGGGGTTTTGGGTTTTTTGAGGGGTGGTGGAATTTTTTTGAGCTTTTTTCCTTTGGTTGGTAGGGTTGAGTTTTTTCAGGGCGTGGGGTGTACACCTTAAGAATTTCAGACCAGGAAAAAAATCTTTCATTTTAAAAACCTTTGTGTCTACAAGAACCAGAAGATCATGCCACAATATTCAGGCAGAAATATATATAATGTCACACCCCACCTCTTTACCAAAATTACTGATACCTTGTTGAATACTTTGGGGTCATTATTAATCCATGAGCTCTCCTTATATATTACCCAACAGACCACCAAAGTTTTAATGTGCTGGGAAAAGCTCTGTCTGCTGAACTGTTACTGATATCTTGGTTTCCTGGGGAAAATCTGGAATGTTATGCCTTGTGTCAGCTCTCCAAAAGAGGAAGTGCCTGGGCAGGATAGCAATTGGATTCCTAAATGGACACCAGTCCCTGTAAGTGTGTCAGGAAAAGCTTCAAGAGCCTCAAGAAAGTGACAATTGAATAATGCAATTTAGAAATTTTTACAATGTGTGTCCTTCTAGAAATATTTTTCAGGAACTGGTGTTCAGCTCCAAGCTGGATTCAGAAAGTCTCCTCCTCTAGGTGTTCCCAGCTCAAAATTTAATGTCTCCGGAAGGCTCAGTTTCCCCAGATATTCAATTTTCTTCATTCAACTTAGAGAAGAACAAGAGATGCACAAACTCACACAAAAGCCAAGAATATGTGAGTTAATTATCCCTTCTGGGCCCAGACTTTGAGAATCCATTTGAGATACATTACACAGGATATTTTACTCTAAACATTTTTTAAAGCAAAATTAATATTCAGTAAAAATTAAAGGCTGGGTGAATACCTTATGCAACCTATGCACAAATGAACACATTAATTCATATCTGAGTTTTCTGACACGTGCTTGCTCATTTCACATGAACATCCTATGAGTGCATTACTCACTCTACAAGAGACAAAACTGGCAAATACTTACTCTTAAGCAGGTGATATTCATGGGAATGAATTCCAGATTCTGTAAAGTTTGCAGCCTTGGTAGAAATTTGGTCCTAGCAGTAATATTTGCCTAGTGAGCTGATGAAAGCAGATGATCTCTGCTGTGAGAGGGATTCTCCAAAGGGCTGAGTGCTGATCTAACTTTGAAATCACACACTGAAATTTACTTCAACAGCATGAACGGAATCTAATCAAAAACTGCCAACACAAATTCAGGTTTTATTCAGAACGAGTGCTGACAGCTACTTAGAGATATTGAACAGAGCAGCAACAGTTTGTAACTATTTTATAGAGTATAGAATCTAAAATGATCAAATGTGAGGAACAGTGTAGCAGAAAAATCTTAGTTTACTCTTTTAAAAATTATATTCTCAATTTCAGAAACAAGTAAGCAAATAAAGTATGGCTATTCTGATCTTACTCCAGCTTGTTAAGAACAAAGGGAACCTAAAAAAATACTGGGAAAAAAAAGCCTGCACCCTAAATATGTTAATTTCCAATTTGCCAAAATAAGAATAAGAAAAGAAACCTTAATCTGTCTAAATTAAGGGTATTTTACTCATTTTTCAATCTTTTGGGAATAAGATGCAATACATTTTCTAAGGACATTACATTCATTTTATATTTATTTTATATGTATTAAGTATACCAATATCTATGTATACAGATGTATAGAGAGATACTATGCAGTCTATAAAGTGAAAAGATAGAATGTGCATTTTTTTTTTTTTTAGTAAAAAGCTATAATAATTTATATTACTCAGCTTTTTTATCTTCTTTACAGTTTAGGAGTGTCAAATCATTGAAAGCATTTCATTCAGTGAAATCAAAGCTAAAAGAATTGTATGATAAATATCAGCCTGAGACTCAGGGAACACCAGAGTATTAAGAAACCAATCTGATGATTTTATTTTTAAATCATGAATTTAAAAAGACACGTATATATCTACACTATTGAAAATATGTGAAAATTAACTTCTAAGGAAAGAAGGAGTTAGATTTTGATTTTCCTTTTGCTTTAATTAAGAGTAGCAAGGAGACTATGTTTCTTCTGTTAACGGAATAAAGGAATTTTGTCTTTACCTGAGGCTGTTTCTATGCCTTTGTAAAATATAACTTTAGAACAATGGAGGTGTGTCTAAGGATACTTTCCAGAAATAAGTCTCTCAAAGCAATAATCCTGTCTAAAATCCAGGATAAAGCTCTTAAAGGAGAAATTTATTCTCTTCTATCTTGGAGCATCTCTAGCCTGTAAAAAGAAGACAATAGAGAGATAACTTAGCAAGATTATTAATTAACAATTTCCAAAGACTCCATGATTTGCAACACAAGCAATTGTTGCTTTAAAGCTAATACTGAATTACATTACTGAAATGGATCACTCAAATTTGACAGTCCAAATAAATCCATTGAAGTCCATAAGATAATGACAACAAAATAAGCAACACTTAATGGCATAACCTACCTAAAATGTCTGAATTCCAGAAATTCTATTGAGATCTATAATTAAAATCTCATGTACATCATGTTTGCACAAACCCCTTTTCCCTCTCTTCTCCTTTACAGTTACAGCAACAACAAAAAATTCAATTAACCAATACCACAGGACCTGTTTAGGGCTGAAAACTACAGGAATTTCTTTTGTGTTTCCAACACAAAGGAAATATTCCCTGCTTTGGAGACTACAACAGATTTGCTAGCCATGATGTGAGCAATTCCATAATGTTCCCCCTTAGAACCAAATGTTTTCCAAGGTATATTTAATTTACTTGCACAGACTTGGCATTCCTCACGCCTTTTCCTTCAGCTTTCTATGGAAATCTGTGCCACCATCTGTCCTTTCACTGATGAACTCTTCCCTAATTGTCTGTGGTGTGGGCACACGAGGTATTTACCAGGTTGTCCTAAGTTTCTCCTGATGGAAACTGGTTTTTCTCTGCTCTCCACTAAGACAGGCAGGAGGATGCTTGCAAGAGGCTTTCTGTTCCAGATGGATGGGACTGGAAATCCCTGGAGAGCTGAGGAAACATCTTTAGGAGCTTCCAAGAATTTCACATTTCAGCTTTGAACCTTTGTTCTGCTGGTGGACAGCCCAGGTGGGCTCACTGCAGTTGTGTGCTTTATAGGGAAATGGTGGCAATCAGAACATTAAAGAAAATCCACCCATTTTCTCACTCCAGGCATCTGAACTACATGCCCTTCCTGAAAATAAACCTTCAAATTATAATCCCTGTTGTTCTTAAAACATTACCATAGATCTAGGCAACTAAACTTCTTCACATTACATTAAAACCCATTATGTGCTTCAATTATTTTTTTTAAATCCCTAAATATTGAATGACAGTTTTGCACTAAGGTATTCATACGTTTTTATTACCACAAAAGAGGATCATGAAATTATAGAAATAATTTCTCTAATTATAGAAATAATTTCTATAATTTCATATACTTCATTAATATATTTATATATGAAACACTGAAAAATATTCTGACCTAGATTTTTTTCCCCTAAGCCACAAGTTTGTTTCTGGTTTCATGACTGTGGACAGCAGGAGAAAAGAGTGGTCAGTAGTACATTTAATTACTTTGGGAATAGTGTGTTTCAGAGTTAATTAAAAGAAGATAACATATTTTCATTTCCCCATGGGAGGACACAAGGAACAAAAAGAAATTAAATCAGGAAAGAGAAATTTCCTAAGTTGCTTCTTTGAAAATGTATTTTCTTCACTTTCTTTTAGAAACTCACTCAATGTTATATTTACCAGAATAAAATGTGATGTATGAAGGGGAAAAATAAATAGTTACTTCTCTGTGAGTTTAAGTACAGATACTAAACACAATTTTTAAATTAATCCCAGACACAAAGTATTAAACACTTCTTCTTTTTCTTTCCTTTTTTTTTTTTTTTTTTTTTTTTTTTTTTTTTTTTTTTTTTTTTTTTTTTTTTTTTTTTTTTTTCAGAGGAGAGATCAACAGCCAGCAGTGCAATGATACCAAACCAATATCAAGCCTGGGAGGATATAGAGCTGTTCAGCTGCACCAATTCTTCAGGAAATGTTCCTCCTCCCCCTCTGGAGTGATGAAAGAAAAAATATCAATACCACTCTGACAAATCAGCAGAGGAAAATATGATAGCAAATAACCTGTTTCAGACTGTTTCTTGGCATTTTATTAGAGATCAAATCAAACTTGTCTATCCTCAGTGCATCCTCTTTACCCCAATGCAAGAAACATAAAAAATCATGTTTTAAAGCAAGGGAGAGTATCCATCTGTTGCATCAATGATTGACAGAAATCCCATTTCTGAAAGCTGAAATGGCAGATGGCCTTTCCTGAACCTCATCAGATGGATTTGTCATAAAAGGAAATGTGTCCTTTCATTTGACATGCTCTTTCCCATTGATTTCCAGATGACAAACAACTAGGAAATGCAGTGAGAAATAAACAAACCATGGCCTCAGACTTTGATTCATGAAGACTGGGGATTTTCTTGAATTTCAATTTAATTTTCCATTAAATGAAGATATACTGTAATACAGTCAGCTTCAGAGGAGGTTTGGAATGAGTCCTTTAATTTCCCCCCATAAAAAACACCTTTAAAAGCTGAACTTTTGCAGAATGCCTATGGAGTTTTTGCTGGAGAGTTCAGGCTGAAGTTGTGGGCGCATACCGTGGTAAAGATATTTATCTTCTTTCAGTCTTTCAGTTCTATTATTTAGAGCATGTCTTTAGCATTGGTTTCTTTCTGAACACTTCCATTTCAGAATAAAATTATCTATTTTAAATGGTTGGATCTTGGGTTTTACTTATATTTTGGATCGGGGGAAAGTTTCTGCAGAACACAAGGACACTCCAATTTCTTAAAGGGTAAAAAAGTGTTGTCCATTAGCATGTTTAATCATTAAAAACAAGTTACAGTACAATTCTGCTAGGTAGAAAAACAGTTTCCTCTACACCAAGTCTTGCCATTGATTTCAGGAATTTCTACTGATTGGTTATTACTTCAGGGTCCCTTATAACACAGGTATGTCATGCCCATTAAGGTAAATTATTAATATGAGTTTCAGACTAACATTAAAGTTCCATTTTGAATTTGCTTGCTCTTTAAAACCGCTTTATTCCTCATCTCCTCAGCACATGGGTCATAGAAACCTACCAGGTGTGTATCATCATCAAAATATAATCTATTTGAGGACTACAAAGCAATTTCGATCTAGGAGTTCATTTTTGAAAGGTTTTTGAAGTGGATTCAAGGAATGTCAAAGCTATTAGGCTACAAAACATTTGATAAAACAATTCATTATTTAATTGAGGACAACATGTTTCCAGGAAAGTGGGAGAATTGCTTCGTAATCCAATCTGTTTCCATCAACCAGATGAGACCACTAGAGCTTTTCCAATTGAAAAGGTACAGGATTTAAGCCGTAATTGTGATTTATTTATGTCCAAAATAGCTCTCTGAATTGAATTCAACATTGTAGTTGCAGAAGTGCAGAACTCCAGCATGGAAACTCTTATCAGAGAGTCTGCCACAGCAGACGAGGGAGCTGCAGCTACAATTCTGGGCAAAACCAGAGATTCTTCTGTCTGCAGCACTTACCAAAAGCCCTTTTCCAGGTTGCCAAGAAGAACTTCAAACTGCAAAAATTTCCAACATTGAGAGGTGTGTAAGGATAGGATAAAATCTTCAAGTATTTAAAAAACTAAATTAAAAACAAGAATTGTTTTTATTCCAGCAAATGAGTGGAAAATATTAGCCCAATGTTGTAGCACAGAAGTTTCTGAATTGCAGTATGAAGAAAAGCACTTTTATAATAAATAAATGAATGGTGACAAGCTGCTCCATGACTGGAGACCTCAAGAAGTGATTTGAAAAATCAGTCACTGAGGACTGATTGACATTGGAGCAGGAGCTGGGATTTGTTTCCTCTCTGTTTCAGAGATTTAGGTTCAGACAAAAGAAAAGCATATCTAAGGAAGTATGTAAGCATGCTCACATACTTTTTGGATTTCTTTAAATCCAAGCAGCTTTATTGGCAGAAATATTTTCTCCTGTGACAGGCAAAGCAGTAACTTTCTGATGGGGCAATCTGGTTCTGGCAACTCTCTGCAAGATTTTGAATAACCTTAATTTAAAAAATTTATTTGAGACAGGATAGGGAAAGCTTTGGTTCTGGTATAACCTAATCAAAGTACCCCCCATGTCAAAAAGTTACAATTTTTTTCCCCAAATTCAGAATTTGACACCTTGTAATTTTAGCAACATCTAGGGACTTTTTTTTTTTTTTTTTTGTAGGAATGGTAAAACAAACCAAATCTCACATCCTGTAGGGAGAGTTGTAGAGAAAATCTCCTGTATTCAAGCTCCCTGAGGAAAAAATTAGGGCTGATTTTAGGAATTAGGACTGAATTAGGGAGCAGTGATAATGCACATAAATAAGATTAAAGCCAAGAAAGAATTGTAAGAGTTATGGCAATCTTAAGAATTTGCTAAATAACCCATGCCTAGGCATTAAAGGGAAGGAAATAAAAATGTATTTTTAAATTGCTGCGTTCTTTGATTTCTCACCTTTTCTTCGTGTCATTCTCGTGTTCACTGCTCCACATGTGAGTTTCTCCACATGTGGGGTCCCCACTGCCAAGCCTCTGCCCCATCCTTGATAACCCAATTCCCTGCACTCTTCCTGTGCCTCCACTTGTCCAAATTTTCCCTTTGTCTCAAATTAAGACTGCATTTTTCAATTCTGCATTGCAGTGTTAGATTTTTAAATACCTCACTCTACACAGGAAACTTGCTGCATTATCTTAATAAAGATGTACATATAGCTGTAGATAGATATAGATTATAGACATGATATAGATATTATTATATAGATTATATATATATTAGATAAACATAGATTATATAGATATTATATATATAATTTATAGAGAGAGATTATATAGATTACATATAGATTATATAGATAGATAGATATAGATGATATAGATAGATTATATAGATAGATATCTATATAGATATAGATGATATAGATATAGATGATATAGGTATAGATAGATATAGATGTTAGATATAGATAGATATAGATATAGATATATAGATATAGATATAGATGATATAGATTAGATATAGATATAGATATAGATGATATAGATATAGATAGATATATAGATAGATGATATAGATAGATATAGATAGATATAGATAAAGATATAGATATAGATATAGATATAGATATAGATATAGATATAGATGATATAGATATAGATATAGATATAGATATAGATGATATAGATGATATAGATATAGATAGATATAGATATAGATATAGATATAGATATAGATATAGATATAGATATAGATATAGGTATAGATATAGATGATATAGATATAGATATAGATATAGATATAGATATAGATAGATATAGATATAGATATAGATATAGATAGATATAGATATATATATATAGATATAGATATAGATATAGATATAGATATAGATATATGATATAGATATAGATATAGATAGATATAGATATAGATATAGATATAGATATAGATATAGATATAGATATAGATATAGATATACATAAGATATAGATGATATAGATAGATGCTATAGATATAGATCTAGATATAGATAGATAGATATAGATTATATATATAGATAGATTAAATATAGATATATATGTAGATATATAGAGATAGATGATATAGATATAGATTAGATATAGATATATATAGATTAAAAAATTCCACTATGAAAAAACAACCAAAAAAACAAAACCAAAAAAGTTCCCAAAAACTTTCATCATCACTGTCCCCCTCTCCTTCCAGATCAATTATTACTGAAAGCAAAGCGAAACAGACCAGCTGAACTCTGACAACTTTTCTTTCTACATTGCCCCCTCCTTCAGACTCTAGCTTCCAAATCCATTATTAATCTTCTCCTCTGCCTTGGAATCTCCCCTGAATGACTCTCAATCCATGGATTATTCATGTTTTGTTGGATTCATGTTTTGTTGGGTTGTTGTTTTTTTTTTTTTGAGGTTTTTTGTTGGTTTTTGTTGTT